TTATTTGAATTTTTCACATAAATTTTGAGGTTATGTGAAAAAAGTGTAAATACAAAAGTTGTAGATCTTTTTATTACCTACAACTTTGTCATTTAACTTTTTTCCATAAGACTTGTAGTTTTTCTGGAAATCAAGGGAAACCGTTTTTTACCCTTAAAAACTCACCCCCTACCCCTTCCCGACCTCAGATCGCCCGTAAATTATTTTTCCTTTCATTTCTGTTATATTCTCTTTCTTTTCCAATGGGTTTCATCTTACTATAATTTTTTTTGGTTTCAAAAATTATCTACCCTGGTCTATTTTTCGAGGGGCAGAACTTTTTATAACAAGTGACATTTTTCGATAAAGTCAAAAACAAGAGTTTCTCCTTTTGTCAACTCCATCGGTGGACACAATGTATATACATTATTAATAAACTTTATTGTACTTAAATTCTCAAGTCTTTACTAAATTATTTTACTAAAAAAGTAAAAAAAAAATCAAAAAATCTTATTCTTTGCTTTCTATAAAGTTGTTTATTAACGATTTTTTGTATAAAATTTTCCTTTTACATTTTTTAAATAAGCCATTTCGATGAGAAATTTAATTCTCTACAAAATTTTTCCTGTGAACCATACCGAAATTTTGCTTCGTTTTCGTCCTATATTTAAAAAACTGCAAAAGTGCATTTTCACCCCTATTTTCAATTTCAACCCTCTAATTTAATAGCACCCCGCGGTTTTTTCATTTTTAATGACCCTTCGAACAAGTCATGTTTTCATCACATGACTTGAACGTCTTATTTCCTTCCTTTTTTTTTGCAAAAAATGAGAATTAAAACGTATAAGGGTAAATGCGACGAAAATCGAAAAATTGGCTAAGTTTGAGCGGCCATATATCAGTCAATTTTCATCCAAAAATACTCTACAACCTCTTGTTTAGAAGGAAATTTTATCTACTTTTTTTTTCTATGAAGCAATGCCTATAGCTATCTTTACTCAAAAAAACCTAGAGGCAAAAAAGTAAAAAAAATCAAAATCTAATTTTTTGCTTTTTTTCAAATTGTTTATTAACGATTATTTTGCATAAAATTTTCCTTTAAATTTTTTTAATAAGCTATTTCCATGGGAAATTCAATCCTCTAAATAATTTTTCCTATGAACTATAAAGAAATTTTGCTTTGTTTTCGAGCTACAATTAAAAAACTGAAAGAAATAACCCCTCAGGTTACACCTTTCTCGATATAACTCTACAGCTCTTCTTGATTTTTTTGTGAGTAATACTTTCGATTGAAAATGGCGCTTACCTCATCCCATTTAACACCACTTGTCCCAAATTTTATTTAAATTTTTTGTATCCTCACAGTAGGCCCATTCTATCCTTATTAATAATAAACCTCATTTGTTTTAGGTCTTGTTAGCAGAGTCAACTGGATCTTCTGAGTATATAGAGCCTATAAAAAGTTTCTGTGACAACTCCGTCGATACTCAGTTACGAAGTCCCGAAGGTCTGATATTTATCCATAAATCTGGCACCCTGCCGCATGCTGCCAACATAGCCTTCCTGTGTTTAATAGTAAGTTGCGTAACAATTTAACATTTAATTATTTAACGATTCTAAAATTTGCGCTTTGTTTTTCAGGCATCGGACTTGCCCGACATGCCGTCTGAAAAGTACACGACATTTGCCAAAGAACAGATCGATTACATTTTAGGAGCCACCGGTAGAAGTTACGTTGTGGGATATGGTGAGAATTTTACACAACAGCCATACCATTCAGCTAGGTAAGAACGCTCTTTATTACATTTTCCTCTTTAGTACTGAAAGTCTGTTTCCGACAGCTCAAATAGCTCGATCGAGTCTTACTTTATTCCGTTCAGTAGTAGGCGGATGTCGAACTGGATAATTGGAACAAGTGAATGTTACATATTGACTCAGTTGACATCCGCTTACTGCGATCTTGAAACTACTTTCTTGTTTTTGTTCAAATGTTATCAGCACACGATGTCCGGCCGGTATAAGTGACGTATGTAAAAGTATAGATCAAAATACACAAAACAGTCTTACGTTCTTCAATATTATAAGCATACAAAAGTACGTAAATAAAACATCATTTCTTATGTTTTTAGTTATACAGTACGTGCCTAAAGTATGGAATAAATTCAGTAAAAACGAAATAAATTTTTTTAGGAAAAATCCTCGAACGGGTCGATTTTTAATTTAAAAAATACATATTTTGGCATCAAAGGCGATTTTCAACCGTCATTTGTTTTCGAGTAATGACTTCATCGACATTTTTTTTAAACAGCAACCACCTATTTTTTTCTTGATACTGAAAGATCGTTTCATTGTCGATCCGACAGTATTCAAATGTTGCCATCTTACATAGGAAAGTTTTCGAGTAAATGACGATTGAATGTTAGAAAACCCAAATCGATTAAAATAAAGCAAAAACGTTATCAAACTTGGTTTTTCGAAATGCCTGAAGTTTTTTATGGATCACGCAGGTGTAAATCTTTACAAAGTGTCACTGTCATACCGACTTTCTAAGTATTGTAAGCGATATAAAAATTATTGTTGAATTTAAAATATTACGGCACATTTAACTGTCACACAAAGAATTGAAATTTTAATTCTTATCGGATGCGGGGATAAGACTAGAACGCAGCAGGAAGTTTGCGATTTATTTAATGAAAAACATCCAGATCGCCGTATCAGCCAATCAACAGTCAGTAAGATAGA